TCAGTGCAAAAAACAAAAACTGTAACCGCATCTCTCGGTGATTCAACAACTGAACGATGTCTTTCCGAAAGTTCTTCCTAATTAACAAGCAACATTTCCACAAACCCATCTTCGTGTCTCATAAAATTCATTCGTTAAAACTTATTAACAGAGTTGCTCTCATTAGCACGTGAACATCCATTTCCGCATGCGCTTCCCAACATGCAAAACGAAATAAATAATTCAACCATCCGCTGCCATTTGTCCCTCCGAATATCAGGTGATGTGTCCTCGCTAATTAACGCCTTTCCAAATTAGCATGTACCATTCGAGCCTTTGAAGTACCGTGCCGTTTCAGATTCTTTTCCTGATGATGACTCATTCCCCGGGGGTGAACGCGTCAAAAATGATACGTAACGATTGCACATGAATAATGAATATGCAATAGGAATCGTGCTTCCAGTAAAAGAGATATGGGAGACTCTTTATTTTTGAAAGAAATGGCCATACATTTAAGTTCCATGCATCGAGTCATTGTGAAAGAATAATGATGAGTGTTGGCTTCATTATTTAAAAAAAAAAAATGAATTTTAATGTGTATGTTAACAAGGAGGATTTAAATTTCCATCTAAAAGAGTAGAGTTTGTGAATATGAAATATTATTATATGATTTTAACATAATTATAATTAAAAAGTGATTAAGAAATGTATGCTTTTTCATGCGAAGTAATCCTTGGGGAAATATCAAAGAGGATGAAAAGTTAATGTACTGCTGCATTGAAATTATAATTTTTTTAGAATGTATAGAAATCTCAAGTATAATTAGGTTTTTAATAGACTAAACTTTGCATGTTTGTATTTCATATAGACATATCTAATTTAGAATAATGATGTATTAAAAAATGGGCTATTTGGACTTCTATGTGGAAGCCATAAAACATATTGAGCCTTTACTGAAGATAATGAAACTAATAAAAAAATGAATAAATGCTTTAATAATAAATCGAAATAATGATATTTGTAATATATATAATATAAGATGTATTCGTAGACTGTTCTGATTTTAAAATTAAATATGCGTTATTTAAAGTCCCAACCAAGGATATTTAATTGATAATTTGAGCATTAACGTCCCTAGAATTGCAGGTAATCTTAACTTGAAGTAAAGAATACATATAAGAAATCTTTCTTCTTGCACAACTTCATATAATAAAAGTAAGAAAATTTGTATGTATATATATATATATATATATATATATAATTTTTATTGGTATTATACCATTAATAAATAATACAAATAAATACTTTACAAAATATATCATATTTAAATGTAGCTCTTAAATTTTAACAAAACAAAATAAATTCCAACAAATTTTTGCAAAATATTTTTAATGTTAAGGGAGCCTGAATGGCCGAGTGGCAAGCGCTCTGGCGCTCGGTACTACAGGTTTCGGGTTCGAGTCCCGGCGGTGCCATGGTTGTTTGTAGTGGTTCGGAATACATTTTAAAAGTAGGTCCCGGTCCTAAAAGGATCGTAGAGCGTTGCGGGGGCATTGTTATTCCGCGTCCGTGGCTTATCTTTAAGTTACACGCGCCCCCTGGGTAATGCAAAGTGAGTACGTCTGTGCAGCACTTGCCTTAAGGCATCCAAAGACCATGCTGTCAGTGTTTGCCAGCTGCATTAGAAAGAAAAATGTTAAGATCAATTTAAACTAAATATAACATGGGGCCTGATGGCCGAGTGACTATCCCTGTAGATCTCGGTGCTACAGGGTTCCAGTCTCGTCGGTTGTTATGCGTGTTTGTAGTGGTTCGCAGCCCACTGTCAACTGTAGGTCCCCATCTAATATGACTGTAGAGCAACGAAGACAATTATATATTATATTAGGTTGTCATCTCCTGTCTCGAAATCTATGAGTAGGCAGACGGCCTTGGGCCAACATGGACCTGTTGAGCCTTAGAAGAAGAAATATTAACTTATAATTCCTTAAATTTTAATGAAATATTTAGAGTGTATAACTGCTTTCTTTTACAGTTTGCTGCAGTAACTTTAACACTTTCGCTTAAAAATGAACTATAAAAAATTGCTGTGCATTTGCATTCAGATTTTCTGATAACATTTAATTTAAAATATGTACATTATTATTATTTTTTTTTACATAAAAAGCATAGGACATTTTTTATATACTTTTCGCCTACAATGCTGCAAGATCACAAAAAATATCCATTGCGCTCAAATTCTCAGTAAAATAATAAATTAAAAATTTCACTTTATTTGACAGTTTACAAACGTTCAGGTATCTAAAACATTTATTTAATATCTCAAAACATTTAATTAAAGCTCAGTTACTGAGATGAGTATTTTAAAAAAAAAAACAAAAAAAAAAAGTAATAAACGTTTTAGCATTTTAAGTGATTAAAGATTATTATCAAACTTTAAATCAAACTCCATGCTTTCCTCAAAATACAAAAATTGAATAAGGGGAACGAAAAGATTTAAACCCCTCGTGCTTTAATTTCAATATTTACATAACTCATGTGAATTGCAGAAGGAAGATTAAAATCTCAATATCTCGCATGGATCCAAACAGTTTTTTTTTTTTTAATTTTCAAATAAAGAAATATATTAAATTTATGTTAAGCCTTTTTTAAAATGACAAAATTTTAAATTTACTCAGAATTTCTTATATTTGCTGAGATTTAACAGTTGTTATTATAGTAAAATAAAGAAAAATTATGTTAAAGTGTTCTGTTATCGCATATTAAATATTTCTACAGTCAGTTAAGATTAACGTATCATTTAAAATAAGTAATTCTAATTTCAGAAAAAAAATAAAATACTTCACATGTTTTTTAAAGAAATAAAAAAAAAAAAACTGAAACGTTCAATTTTGAATTCATTAAAAATTTTAAGCGTATGAAAATTTTTTTATTAGCAGATTAATAAATGTAAAATTAAAAACAATTTTAAATTTCCAGTTTTTAAGTCCTTAACTTTTAAATATAAATAAGTAGTAAATAATTTTTTTTAATAATTAATTTTGGGCTTTTGTGTCCTTACGGTGTAATAGCAAATTAATTAGCACATAGTTTTAAAGAAATTTAAGATTTAATTGTTATTTGATTGAGATAAATACATTTTTAGGGATTTTTTTCCCTAAGAGAAATTTTATATTTTGCTATTGTCTGTCTTCTTATAATAATTTCTTCTATGAATGTATTTTTCAATGAACTACAACAATGGAATTTTTATCTATACAAATTAAAATTTTATACTAAATTCATTTTTCAAGGACACTCTGTAGTGTGGAGTAAGAACAACCAGATTGCGACTATTTGTATCTGTCTTGAGATATTTGTGGCACAGATTAGAGCACACACAGCATTATTTACAGACGCCTAAACACCATACACATACAATTAGAAACATACACATTTAAAGACATATAATTATAGATTCGTGGAAGGATTCAACTTCTAAGCCAAAACATGATATTCAGCTATGATCAGGGTACACGAAATATTCTTCCTGTCTAAGTGAGAGTCTGTAGGCCAGATGATCTTTTCTCCTGAAAGGTTCAGGGGCGCTGTTGCCAGTGGCTAGGCGGAACCAAAAAAACTCTAAAAATGCAATTTGCTTAGTTTTATTTTTAAATATTATGAAACAAATTCTAACTGCAGATGAAGTGATTTCTAATATAATGCATTTAGTGTATTTAATATTTTTGTTAAAAATTACATGCATTCAGTTCCTAAAACATTTTCAAGAAATAGTTTTCAAATAGCAACCATTTGTGTTTAGGCATTTTTATTTTTCCACTAGCCTGGCCCCCACAATCTCTAGACTAGTATTGATTGCTGGGACGTTTGTCTTATTTGTTCTCACTTGTATGTGTGAGTTTGCCCCATAAGAACATCATTTAAAAATATCTCCTCTATGAAAAGCAATGTTGAAATATCAATATATATTCCCATATTAATTTGCTGACTCTATAGCGCTCTGTGTCACAGGTTACGTGTTCAAGACCCGACAGTGCCACAGAAGTTTGTAGGGTTTCAAATCAGCTATAAATTGTAAGCCCTCCCCCCCCCTAATATAAGTGTAGAGCTCCGGTCTACCGGTCGGTACCTGTCTAATCGGTTTCTGCGTAGAGGTTTCGGTCATATATGACTATTGGGCTTAAGGCTGGTAAATCCATCCCGTAAAAAGAAAAAAACATTATCTCATGTCTCGATATCTTCCAATAGGCAGACAGACTTTTCCCACCATGGGGCTGTTGCGCCAATGAAGAGGAAAAAATAATGCATGCAATTTACATGCATTTATTTGCTAAGCCCTTTTTTTTAATAAATATGTTTTCAAATACAAAGTAATTTTAATGAAAACAATTGGCCACTAGACAGGCACCCTCTACCCCTAGATTAGCATTGATTGCTGGGAAGTTTATCTTGTTTGTTCTCATAAGACATCTTTACGACATCTTTGCTATGAAAAACTTTGAAATATCAATATATATATATATATATATATATATATCCCCTTGTTAATATAATGATTCTCTGTCGTTCGGTGCTATAGGTTCAAGCCGGCGGGGCCATAAATGATTGTAGGGGTTCGGAATCCATTTTAAACAGTAGGTCCCGGTCCAATATGACTTTTTGGCGGTGGCAGATGGCTGGCAACCCTATCCGTAAAAATAAAAAAATAAAAACATCTCATGTTTCGAAATCTTCCAATTGACAGACAAATTTTTCCCACCATGGGAATGTTGCGCAAATGAGAAGGAAAAGAATATGCTGACAACATGTAAGGAAATCTCAAAGGTGTTCTCCTAAATGAAGTAAAAACTAAAAAACTAAATTTAGAAAAAAATATTAATGCAACCCTATATAGATCGATGATTATAATATTTTTCTAATACATCTGGCAATTTAGAGAGTTATCGTTATGCCATAAGCAAGGGCTGCACCGCTATTACTCATTTAGCACCTGTTCAAACATCAGACCTCTTAAAAAACATAGGCCCATGCGAGAATTGAATCCTTGACCTTCGTGTTATTAGCACGACACTGTAACCAAGTGAGCTAACGGTCCGGTTGTGATTATAAAATTAGAGGGTTACAAAATATTATCCTACAAAAACCTTTTTTAATGGCTAATTAAACTCCAAAGAAAAATCTCTATATCAGTTGGGATCCAAATTCGCAAAATTAGTTAAGATTCCTGAATATATATTTTAGTCTTGTAAAGAAATGTTATTAAATTACATTATGATTCTTACAAGTTAATTCCTCAGGATTTCTTAAACTTTAACAAAATATCATTTTTTTATGCAGCATCACAATAGATATGGATAACATTTAAGCAACTTGTTTAGCTTGACTGTTTGAATCCACAATCCAATGACGAAATAAGTTTAGCATACTGGCCTCATACCCATTCATGATAAGAAACTGAACAGATGCAGGCGATTGTGTGGAAATCTGCATCACCGTAATCGTCATTTGACGAGGTGGTTCCTGGAATGTTAGTGGGGGCGGGGGGCTCATGGTTCACTCACCCTTTGTTAACGGAATCGTTCAAAGGGATTTCGTGCAGTGCACAACTCCGGACGTAATTAGAACGCAAAATGCATACAAGTTTATTGTAAACTCAAGCCGATATAGTAACAGTAATTGACTGTATTTCGAAGTTCTCAGGTTCCATTTCATATCAAAACAATTATATATATATATATAAATATATATATATATATATATATATATATATATATATATAATGGATGATATATAAAATATATATATAATAATAAATGATATATAAAATTAAAATAATAGAATTTTATATGTGCAATTTCACATATAATTGTTATTATTTTATCTTTCTTGAATCGGTTTCAGATTACCAATAACGAAATAATTAATAAAAAATTGCTGACTTCCAGCACGCAAATTATTCAACACAAAACGACAGATGATTATTAAGCACAGCATCCAAAAAGTTGTCTAAAATAACACTTATAATAACAATAATGATAAAGATTATAATTTTCTTTGATAGTAAATTGCAGATTTCACATATAATTGCCATTATTTTATATTTAGTGAATTGATTTTAGATTACCTATAAAGAAAACCTTGACAGAAAATTGCCGACTTCAATCGCGTAGATTACTCAATACAGAACTGACAAAATCCGAAATATGAAATGTTATTTTAGGGGATAGGCTCATAAGCCCTACGACCTACCCTCTATAATCACATTAGACCTAGTACTACTGTTTAAAGTGGATTTCGAACCAATACAAGCACCCATGGCGCCGCCCGGACTAGAACACGAAACCTTTGGTATAAACAGTAGTGTAAAATGTAAAAAAAAAAAAAGTAGTAAAGTAGTGTTGTGTAAAAGTAAAAGTGTAGTTAATTTATTGGTCAATTTATAGTCCAATAAATTAATAAGAAAACAGGAATTCCTATACATATATATATTTTTTTCAGTCTTGAAGTTTACACTTCCATAATCAGTATTCGTTCAGATAATTCGAAATCTTGAAGCAGTTAAAATGTTTCTGAAATGGTCCATTTAAATATATATATATATATATATATATATATATATATATATATATATGTATATATTTATTTTCACTTTTAATGCGATTTAAAATAAACAACGAATCGTAACCAATAAAAAATTTATTCATATTACTTATTTAGATTATTTTCTTGTAATAAGTGCGTTTTACTTTCTAATAGGTAGATTTTATAGTGCAACTATCAAAAGATGAACACATCTCAATATCTGAAAATTTTGTTAAACAATTTAAAGTAGCTTTTAAGACAGACTTACTTTAATATATTATTTCTCCCAATAATCTCGAGTCTATATTCAGAATATAGTCTAACATTAAAATAAATTTTTATTAAAAAAACAAACATTGTAAAAAGAAATATTTTGATACAAAAATATTTTTAACTTAGTTGATTTTTTTGTTTGTATACTGCATTAAAATAAAATAATTGGAGTTTTCCATAATACAGCAAACACTTTTTTTGTTAGATGTAATTCATTCCAAGGAAATCAAGATTTTATCTATGAAATTAATAAAAAAACAGCAAAGAATATTAAAATTCATACCGTTGTTGCTTATGCTAATCTGATTCACTTCAGCTAAACAAGGTAGTTGCTAAATTTTTATTACTTCAAACGTGCTACAATAAAGAACGTGAGTGTTTAATTTTTAATTTTAAAAGTAAAACATTTTCCAAGTTTCATTAAATTATCATTATTGTAAATTTTTTTATTATTATAAATGCATTTATTCTCAAAAGAGTAAATAGGAAACATTATTTTCTATTGTATTTAATATGTTAAAAATATATTCGAATATAAGTGTTATATAAAAATTGATAATTTTGTTAAATTTTTCCCAAAATGAAACATTTGGAATTATTAAGATATTTCGGAGTTATTTTTCAATTCCTTCTATTGGCTCACACTCTCCCTATATCTTGTTCAAATTTTCAATCGTTCATAAAATACTTCTTATTTATCCACTCACGTTAAAATATTTTTTTTTTTTGAACTAGTAGTGGATGACATTGAATGTTACATACACTTTTTTGAAATATTAATTCATTATATAAATTTAATTAATTAATTTTAGTTTTTTTTTTTTTTTTTTTTTTTTTGCCTAATAAAAGATTTAATTTAATTCATTTTTTTTAAATTTATCTACAATAGACGATGCCAGATAAATTTAAAAAATGAATTAAAATTATGTATAAAGGACTTTTTACAATATTGTGAAAAAAAGTAGGAATTGACTTTAAAAATTATTTTTTATATTATTTGTTTTTGTATAAATTTAATATTGCTGCGAATTGCAATTACTATATTTTCAATAAAAATTATCATTAATTAATTATTTCTCATTTTAGATAATTTCATATACATATATTTCATTGAAATACATAAAACCATTAACAAATATTTAATTTTTTTTTTTTTGAAGATTTCTCTGAATTTGGTTTGAGTTTAGACCTAAACAAATATCCAAAAACGAAGCAATTTCCTCTTAAACTTTACTTAAATAGTAAATAAACTTGTTTTAGTCTTAAACTACATTCAGAAACAAGAATTGGCTTTATTGATATGAGTCATACATTTGCAAATCACTGTAAAATGAAACACACATTTCCATAACAAATCCAAAATTCAATACATAGATCTTAATAATGTAGTGACACACTGTAAAAGTAAAAACAACACTGCTTTAAAAATCAAAATTACTTGTAATCTTTCAATGAGACTACATAATGTTTTAAATAAGTTTTTTGAAAGCTTCACATTTTGATGAACCAACACTACAACAAAGTCTTATTTATCCCATAACAATGAAGAATTCTAAAAACATACATTTGAGTCGATAGTATAACATAAATTGCTCATTCAAACTCAGTAAATTGCAATCCAAATTATTTTCAGTTTCTGGTTTAAACTATTGACAAAACTATGTCAATGAAACTCAGACAATGGAGTTTCTAAATAAATGCGTGCTTCACTTTCAGCTGGATGGAGAAACGCAACTTCCCGTGCAGTTTAATTCCAACAGAATATAGTTTGGCAACCGTTTATGGGAACTGCGGCTAAAGGCGCGGTGGAACATTTGGTGACCCACAATTTGCAATGATGGCACTTGCCGCGAATATTTATAACCATTATTATCCAGTGCTTGCCTCTAAATAAGATGCATATCATGCGATAAATATTGATGCCAACTGCATCTTATCAGAAGTGTGGAGAGATTTCCGTATTGAGTTAATGACTTTCAGCATCATTCCATCTACTAGAATACATGGTATTAACCTCGTGGTTTGTTTCCAATTTGATTTAATAAGTCTGGATGTTAGTGTAAGTCAATATATCAGATGGAATGTTATCATCTGTTTAATTAAAAGTTTAGTTAAATTTCAGAATAAAGAATACATTCATTGTAGGGTTATGAAACCAAATGCAATGGACTACTTTTCCATTCAATGTTTTTTTTCTTGTGCTTAAGATTTATTATAGGATTTTCTTGATGAACTAAATGAAATGTTGTATCGTTTTATTATTAAAGTGAATTATAATAATATTTTTCTTTCAGTTTTTAAATTTCTTCTTGTTCATTTTAAATGATCTGCAGCGATTTATAACTATTATAATGTGCATATTATATTGAGTACATTGCTACAATGTTTTCATCCTTAATGTTTCATGTCGTTCGTTAGAAAATCAATTGTTTTTTTTTTTGAAGTATTTGGTATGTATTGATTAAATGTGTAGTTAAAAAATTATTTCTTTAAAACTCCTTATGTGCATTGTCATAATATTTATATAAATTACTTCTATTATTATAATGATTTCTTCTTGCAATGCTACTTAATTATGTACTTCATAAATATTGTTATAATTAATTATGAATACATTCATAATGTTTTTACTTAATTATGTACTTCAGAAAATGTACTTCTATTGCTGTGAAGTAAGTTGATATCGTATTAATTAAAGTTATTATTTCTTAGAGTAATAGTCACATCAAGGAGCAATAGTATGGCGGACCAACATTGTTTGTACTTTTACGGGGGTAAGTAGACAGATATTGCTAGTCAAAATGTATTATTACAATATTTTATCCTGGAGCAATAGTTTCATTAAAGTTCTCTTAATTTCAGAATAAAGAACACATGCATTGTAAGTTTTCTTTATGAACTAAACGCAATGTTGTGTTGCTTTTCCACTGAATTTTTTCTTGTTCTTGTTTATAATGTTTTTCCTGCTTAGAATTTATCTTTTTAGGAATCAAATGAATTGTATATTATTTATGGTATATTTTTCATTAAATATGTTATATATTGCATTTTCTTTTGTTCATGTTAAAATGATCTACAAGTATTGTTATAACATTTGTATTACATTAAATCTATTGCTACGATATTTTTCCTTAATGTTTGTGTCCATCTTTAAATATTCAAATGGTTTTTTTGGGAAATATTTGGTATATCTTGAATAAATGTATCGTTACAGGATTATTTCTTTAAAATTCGTTTTAT